CGTGCGAGTGGGAGAGGGCGCTGGAAATGGGAGCGCGCCCCCAGCCAGCCCTGGCAGTTCCGTACCGGGTGGGTGCTCTGTACCCGGTCCCTGCGTACAAAGAGTCAAGCGGGGCACCGGGCGAAACCGCGCTTCTCAAAGGCAGCCTCCGAGCCTGAGCGCTTTTCCCCGGTGAAGTTAGCCTAGTTGTCTTTTAAACCGGTTTTGTCCCTGCCTCTGTGGTACCCTGCAGCAGCGTGTGCTGCGTGGAAGAGTTTTTTCCGTGTATTTGCTTTGAGCCTGCCGAGTGTTTTACCGGAGCTCCTGCCGGCTCTGCGCTCAGCCTGGCAGCAGGCAGTCAGGCGGTGCTGGGGGTGGGCATCAGCTTTACAGCAACGCCTGTCTGAAGGGTGCTGGGAGCTGCATGGCTCTTCCGCGGGCCTTAAACCTACCTGTGACTCCTTCCCATGCAGAGGGGCTCGGGTCTGGGACAGCTCCTCTGGTGGGATTTTTGAAACAGGGAGCAGTATTTTTATGCAGGTTCCTACGTGGTGTTCAAAACACACCACAAGCAATTTTATTTTATGTGCAGGTCCTGTGGGGACCTGCGGTGGGGTCCTGTGTCGCCCTGGTTCTTTCTCTGTCTTCTTCCCCTTTCAGGCAGCAACGGAGACGGATGCTGACAGACGGGCGTACGCAGGTGAGGAGCAGGGACTGTGCCCCGGCGTGCGTGGGGTGCACTGCTGCACGTTTCCCCCTGACGTGGTTGGGTGACATAGCCTTGTGAGGAAACGTGGCTTCAGGTTGCCACCCTTGGAGCAAGCTGCCTGGGGTGGCTGCGAGAGCCACTGAGCTGCTTGCAAGGCTCTGGGGGGTCTGAGAGCCCACTTTGGGCCTGACAAAGCTCCTGTGGGATGGCATGTGGGGACGGAGAGGGGTGGGAAGGGGTCCTGTGTGTTGGATACCACTGCAGTACTCATAGCCGGTGCTAACATCGCTACAGCACAAGGCGTGGGTGGTGTTGGTGCCTCTGCTCTGATCCCTGCCCTGCTCCCTGCAGTGTGGGTGTCTGAGATCATGCTCCAGCAGACGCAGGTGGCTACGGTGATCGACTACTACAACCGCTGGATGCAGGTGACTGTTCCTCACAGGCTCCTGTGCCCGTAGGCTGCCCCTTTTGGAAGCCTCGTCTGCTGCCTGTGGCAGATCCCCAGCTGCAGGGCACAGCTTTGCTTGTCCCTAACTTGTCCCCTTCTCTCTGTACCACAGAAGTGGCCGACGCTGCAGGCTCTGGCGCAGGCATCCCTGGAGGTGAGCGTTGCTCGGGCCGGGTGCTCTCCCTGCCCTCAGGGCTCTTTCCATGCCTCATCTAACACAGCACCACATCTCTTGGAGCAGGAGGTGAACGAGCTGTGGGCAGGACTCGGCTACTACTCCCGAGGGAAGCGTCTGCAGGAGGCAGCAAGGAAGGTGCCCTGGTTTTGGGGTGTGGGGGGCATTTCCGAAGCCTCTGTGGCCCGTGGATTGGTGCTGGCTCCCGTCTGCTCTGCCTCGCTGGGGCTGTGTGCTGCTGGCACAAGGCTACAGAGGCTGGGATCTCATCCTACTATGGGTAAAATGGATCGCAAGCATGCACCCCAGCTGCTCCCCTGACCTCAGCCCCCTCTCTCCCAGGTGGTGTCTGAGCTCGCTGGCCAGATGCCCAGGACGGCTGAGGACCTGCAGAAGCTGTTGCCGGGAGTGGGCCGATATACGGCGGGAGCCATCGCGTCCATCTCGTATGGGCAGGTGAGAGCTGGGCATCGGTGGATGCGTCTCTGCCACCCAGCCCCACTCCTGGCAGGGTCCTGCTGGGTCTCACAAGCCGGGGGCTCCCCAGGGCTGTGCTTGGCTCTGGCTCTCCCCTGCGTCTCGCCTACCGCCCAGCTTGGCCTGTGGATTGGCCTCATGTGTTCCCCCCTCTGTCCTGGGGGCACCTCAGCTCCCTGCCTTGCCGGGAGCATGGGCACCTCCTGGCGTGGTAACCGAAGCTTCTGGTCCCAGGCTACCGGTGTTGTGGATGGGAACGTGATCCGGGTCCTGTGCCGCCTGCGGTGCATTGGTGCCGACTCCAGCAGCCCAGCCGTCATCGACCGGCTCTGGTAAGGGGAACGTGCCATCCCCCCTCCCAGCTGTGGTGATGGTTGCCATGCTTGTTGGCGGCCAAGGGCAGGATCACTGGGGAGCTGCAGGGAGCTGAGCCTGTGAAGGGAGAGAGGTGTGTGGTGCAGAAGCTCTTGGGAAGCTGGCGCTGCTGGGAGTGGTGGAGAAAGGAGCTGTGCAGCCTCTGCCTGCCTGGCAGCATCGCCCCTTGCAGGCAGGAGGTGGGCAAAGGTCCGGGGGCCTCTCCCTGCAGAGCCCTGCGCCGCTCACTGCTGTTTCTCCCAGGGACATGGCCAATGCCCTGGTAGACAGGAGCCGCCCGGGGGATTTTAACCAAGCCCTGATGGAGCTGGGGGCTACGGTGTGTGTGCCCAAGGCCCCACTCTGCGGGGAGTGCCCGGTGAAGCAGCACTGCCGAGCGTGGCGCAGAGTAAGTACAGCCCCAAAATCTGTCTCCTTCCTGCCTGCAGGTGGCTGGGGGCTGCCAGCTGTCCTGGTGGGGTGGCAAAAGGTCGCCCCAGGTCCCCTCTGAAGCTTCCTTACAAGCCATCCTTGTCCTGGGCCAGTGCTGCAAGCTATTCTTGGCTGGGCATCATGTCCTGCATCCTCACTGACTACCAGCCCCGAGGGGTCACCGTGCATGGGGACAAGGTGGGCTGGTGGATGAGTCTGTCCCCATTCCTGTCCCGCCTTGCAGGTGGAAAAGGAGCTGGCCTTTGCCTCTCAGAAGCTGTTTGGAAAACTCACCCCTGTGCCTGATGTTGAGGACTGTGGTAAGTGCCTGGGGAGATCCCTGTTGTGGCTCTGGATCTGGGCCCTGTGACAACTGTTACATTGGTGTTTGCAGGTGTTGGGGGCTGTCCCCTGTGCCCCCCAGCCACGGAGCCGTGGGACAGCAGCCTGGGGGTGACCAACTTTCCCCGGAAAGCAGCAAAGAAGCAGCCGCGGGCAGCACGAACAGCCACGTGTGTGCTGGAGCGGAGGGGCTGCCACGGGGCCCCGGAGTACCTCATTGTGCAGAGACCCAGCTCAGGTAAAGGGGCTGGGCGGGAGGGCAGCGAAGGCACAGTGAGGCCCCTTCCCACCTACCCGAGGGACAGAGCAGCCTGGGAGCAGGATGTGATGAGACTGTGCCCCCAGATGTGCCTCTTGCTGGCTCATGTCCCTGTTGTGCCCCCTCCCCAGGTCTCCTGGCTGGGCTCTGGGAGTTCCCCAGCCTCCCACTGGCTCAGGATCTGCAGGAGGAGAAGCAGAGGGAGGTTCTGGCAGATCATCTCCGGGCCTGGACAGGGTGGCCAGTGGTGGCGGGAGGCCTGCGGTTCAT